GGGTCTCGGGATGGGGTTTCTTGTGGAAGGTTTCTCGTAGTCGGGCCCCTGCTGCAAGATACAGTGAGGGGCTTGAATAAGGAACACTTCCTTTTCAAAAGGGGCTCGGTCGCTCCTTGGGTTTGCGTGCGTTCTGCCACCTTTTTGGCGGCGAGCCCCCCATGGTGTTCCTTCGGACTTGTTAGACCCACTTGGAACAACAAGGGGCTGCGCTCCTTTACTTATCGTTCCTTAGGTCAGGCCGATGACTGTATCGGTCGCCGAGCCTCCGGTGGCCTGCACGGCACGTCGGACTGCCGCCGGCGAAGGGCCGCGGAGGACGCCCCGACGGCCAGCCGCGCTCTGCGCCGTGCTCGGTGCCCGCCGCGGCCGCTCGAGGCCCGTGCCGGGCCCCCCAGAGCCGAGCCAGGCCGTGCAGAGGAGCAGCGGCAGCAGGGAGGAGGGAGGCAGCCGGGAGGAGCGAGGGAGGGCGGAGGACCCAGACCCCCTCGAGTCGTGAAAAAATCACGACGGGAGGTTTTTCCATATTTTCGGCCTCTGGGGGTCCCTATCGGGCCTCGGGACCGTCAAAAAACGACTCAGGAGGAAACGCTGGTCAGGCATAGGGGGGATCATGGACCTCCAATCGCCCATTGATCGCCGATTAGGGGCCCGATAGGCCGACTCTGCCCAGGAGGGTGCGGATTCACGATCGGAGGCCTATCGCCGATCTATCGGCGACGTATCGCCGATTCCGGGTCGATGCATCCCCCTCTGTGCCTCTGTGCCAGTTCCCCCCCCTATCGTTGCCCATCGGGCGGCGGGAAAGGAGCAGATTGGCAGAGGGCGGTGCAGGGGGCGGGCGCCGTTGGAGAGGTGCCGAGGCATATATCAGCCTCGCGAGCACGTTTCGCCAGTCTAGGGAGTTGGATTTCGGGTGCACGGCCGTCATAGGAGCGGGGAATTTCCGTTCACGCGAGCCCACTCGTCCAGGCGCACATTGGTTGGCCACTTCGGGGCGAGCAGATGTCGTTATGTCTATACGATTGTTCTTTTCCTCCTGGCCTCGGGGGGTGCGGCGGGTGGGGCCTGGCGAAGTGGAGGGCGTCGTGGGGCTCGGTTTGCCAAGACAGTCACTGCTCTACCAAACAGAACATGCAACATGCCACCATTATGTGTATACATCGATGTTAAATAAAGAACTCCACTTGCGGCGGGCCTCTGGTTTGGCATTCGAGCGCAACTCGTTCATTTCTACCCGCGATTTGCGGAGTCGACGGGACTCGCTCCCAGCAGTGCGTGGCCAGCCCTTCTCCTCCGACGTTGCGATTTCGTCTTGGCGTGGGCTCCCAGGCATGTTTACGAACCTGAGATGCACCGACGACCCGAGCCTCTCCTTGGCGCCGGGACTTCTAGCCTCCGGAAGTCCTTAAGCAGGTCTGCGAAGGTCTCCTGAAGTTTCTGGACGGCCCTGGAGGTTCCGAGACAAACCACATCATTAGCATAGTCTCACCTATACGACCACCCTTCGGGTGATAAGGAGGTTGTTGGGGGGGTGGAGGGAGAGGAGGGGGAGCCAACATCTGACTCAATCGATCTCGCTATCGATCTCATGTCCTCGATCCTGGATGTTTTTTTCCGCCGCAAGTGTGTGGCCTTTTGGCCCCGCCGCCCTGCGGGCGGCCGCCGGGGCGGCATTGGGGGCGCGCCTGGAGGAGCACCGGCGACGGCGACCACGGCCGCAACCACGACCGCGACCAAAGCGGCGGCGGCTGCGGCGGCGGCTGCGGCGGCGACGACAACGACAACGGCTGCGACAACGACAACGGCTGCGACGACGACGACGACCACGACGACGACGACAGCTACGACGACGACGACGACGACGACAGCGACAGCGACGACGACGACGACGACGACGACGACGATGACGACAGCGACGACGACGACGACGACGACGACGACGACGACGACGACGACGACGACGACGACGACGACGACGACGACGACGACGACGACGACGACGACGGTGACGACGACGGCGACGGCGACGACGGCAACGGCGACCCCCAGGCGGAAGCGCGGTGTGGGCGCGCGGTGTGCGCCAGGGTGCGGCGAAACCTGCCGCGGGCCCAGACCAGTCCCACGCCAAGAGGCGAGCAGATATGCGGGCGCAGCAGTGCGCTGGATGTGTGGCCATTGCCTGGGCCTTTGTGGGCCCCGGAAACGGCAGGGCCGTTTTTTCACCGTTTCCAAAAAAATATCCCTTGAAAATGGAAACGGCAAAAAAACGGCGACCAGAAACGGCAAAAAAACGGCTCCAGGATTGGAACTGGAGCCGGAAACGGTCAAAAAACGGCGACGGAACCGGTAAAAGAACGGCGTCGGAACCGGCAAAAAAACGGCAAAACGGAGCCGGTAAAAAAACGGCCTTGTCGTTTCCAGGGCCCACTAAGGCCTGGGCCTATCAGGCGAGTGCCCAATGCTGAATAGCGCGGCGCAGGGGTGCAGGCGCCGAGCGCAAGGACACTCCCCTCCTCGTCCTCCCTCCGCCGCCGCCTCCGTCCATCTGCCGCCTCCGCCCTTCCCAGTCATCCGTCGTCCTCGTCCTCCTCCCTCAACCTCCCTCCCCCATATCCTAACACTGCAGGCGAAGTATCCTCACCCCCCTGGCCTACAGGTCCTCACCCACCAGAGATAAAACGGCCAGCGAAATATCCTCACGCCCCTGGCATAAGCCTGCCAGCGAAGTATCCTCACCCCCATGGCGTAAAACTGCCAGAGATATATCCTCACGCCCCTGGCCTGAAATTGCCAGCGATCTATCCTCAACCCCGTCGCCTGAAACTGCTAGCGATATACCCTCACCTGCCAGCGAAATATCCTCACGCCCCTGGCATAAACCCGCCAGCGAAATATCCTCACCCCCCTGGCCTAAAATTGGCAGCAAAACATCCTCCCCTCTAGATTACAACTGCAAGCGAAATATTCTCAAGGCCCTGTCATAAAACTGCCAGCGAAACATCCTCACCCCCATCGCATAAAACTGCCAGCGAAATATCCTCACCCCCCTGGCCTAAAGCAGCTTGCGATCTATCCTCACCCCCTTGGCCTAAACTTGCCAGCGATCTACCCTCAACTCCTCTGGCCTCGAACTGAAACCTCACTCCTTCGGAGATAAAATGGCCATCTAACGGCTCGGTTGTTCAGTCAATTCAGTCAGCTCAGTCAGTCAGTCAGCTCACGAAGATCAAATCACGGATTGCGCCCACAAAATACACGACCACGGCGGGAGGTCGACTACAGACTATTCCGTCGAATATCCCCGTCAGATTGGCCCCAATTTTTCCTGTCAAACTATCTCAAAATTTCCCGTCTCATTGCCCCCCCCCCATGTTTCGGCATATTATCTTCCACTGTTCTGTCAGATTACCTCCAAAGTTTCCCGTCTGTTTACCCCCACATGTTCCTGTCAGATTATTCCCACAGTCTCCCGTCGGATTAACCCCACAGTTTCACGTCAGATTGCCCCAAACTTGCCAGTCAGATCACCCCAACACGTTCCCGTCCAAGAGGGCCCCAAGACGCCCCAAAAGAACCCCAAAAGGACCCCCAGGGAGGCCAGGAAATACAACACACATTGAGTTTCGCAAGGCTTGTTGTCCGATTCGTGTATTTCGCACCAAAGCTTTAACACCACAGGGCTCCAAGATGCTAAGCCAGCGACTTCGCGCCCTCACAAAGTACACGCGCATTTCGTCCCCGTGCCAAGCAGGTCTGCTGGTCTTCGGCCCATTCCGCCACCGCGGCTGGGTCGTGGTCTTTTTGGAGGCTCTTTGGGGTCTCGTGGGAAGGCCTCCCAGAGGTCTCTTAGAGGCCTCTTCGAGCCTCTGGGGGCCTACTGGCGGTCTCGGGAGCCGAGCCAACTTCAGCGGAAGGGCTCGACATGTCATGTCGGGTTCCCTCTCTGTTGCCCCTGTCGGGGCGCTCTTGGAGCCTCGTGGGGCCTTTTGAACCGTCTTGAGGCGATCTTGGGGGTTTCTTGGGCCGTCTTGGAGCAACGGATACCCTAATTTGTAAGAGTGCTAGCACCTATCACAAGCGAGTGTAAATCACACGTGTTTGCCTCTTGGGCCCTCTTTGGGGTTCTCTTGGAGCCGTCTCGGAGCGGTGTGGGGGCTTGTTGGGCCGTCTCAAAGCTTTTTTGGGGAGTCTTGAGCAGTCTTGAGGCTATCCTAGGCCGTGGGATCCTCTTGAACAGCCTTGGGGCTTTACTGGGTCCTTCTTGGGCCTGCGTTCCCAGGTATCTGCTGGAATTCACAGGCGTTCCCAGAGCATGACCCGAAGTCGGAACCTGCTCAACAGTCACATGGATGAAGGGTGGTTCCTTCAAATAACGGGATTTGTGCAGTTCCTTGATTTGGTGAATCGCACCCTTTTTTATTTGTGTAATCGCACCCTCTGGATTTGTGTGATCGCACCTTCTTGGTTTTTTCTTGTCAGTTTCTTGATGTGTGTAATCGCACCCTCTTATGTCTCTGGTAGCTTCGTAAACGGATGAAAGGGCGAACGATCTCTGCAAAACGGGGGCGTTCGTTTGCATGGCAGGCCCAAACGGGCGCCCGTCTTTCCAAGGGGTGCCTCCCGTGGTGACAAGGAGAGCTTGCAGGAAGATGTGAGGAGAGGACGTGGGATGAAAGGGCGAATTGCAGCATCATTGTTTCATCTTGCGGTTATTGGTTCTCCTCCTCCTCCTCCTCCTCCTCCTCCTCCTCCTCCTCCTCCTCCTCCTCCTCCTCCTCCCGTGGTCTTCCCAAAGTCCGCTCCAGAACGGGTCGGTCCGAGGGTCCCTTCCAGGGTCTCCGTGACGGTCTGCTCGTCCACCCTGGGTCGAGATTTGGCGGCCCCGGGGTGAGAAACACTGGCAGCCTCGGAGGCGGGGCACGCCGACAGACTGCGGCCGCAGCTGTGCTCTCGAGCGCCTCTCCGCTGGCAGCCCCGCGCCCCCGCGCCGTCCCCAGCTCGAGCAGTCCTTGGGCGTCGAGCCGTCCAGGAAGGCACAGGTGACCCCCCCCCCCGCCGCCCCGAGGAGGAGGAGGAGGAGGAGGAGGTCTTCTGCTGCAGTTTTGTATCCTGAAACCGCTCGTGGCCGAGCGAGGGAGGCGAAGACGACGGCGACGACGGCGCCGTCCTCGCCGCCGTCGTCGACGGGGGGGGGGAGAGAGCAGAGTTGAGGAGGACGACGACGCCGCGGAGCGGGCGGAGGAGGAAGGGGGAGAGTGCGGTGGGGGCGGGGCGAAGGAGAGAAGAGGAGGGGGGAGTGAGAGACCGAGAGCGTCCAGTGACCGAGTCACAGAACTGAGCCACCCCGGGAGCTGCTCCGGCGACGCGGGGCAAGAGGAAGAGGCGGTTGGCGAAGAGCGGAAGCCCCCTGCATGCGGCTTGCGTTCGGAAGGTGCAGCGACGGTCAGCGGATGACGGCCGCGTCCAAGCAGGGGAAGTCAACCCCACGTACGCTACAAACAGGGCCACCATAGTACCGCCCATGTCTGCACCACTGAACGAGAATACACATTTGCTCACACGAACGAAGCCACCACAGTACCGCCCATGTCTGCACGACTGATCGAGAACGCACATGTGCTCATACTCTGACGGGGATGCTTTCACAGTAAGAGCCACTACCTGGCAACAATATGCGGATGCTAAACAATCCCACCTAGCCGTCACGTTTAAGTACGCCCACGCGGCTGGGAGGAGGGTTTGATTGAGCTCAATCAAAGCCCGCGGAATGTCCAACGACTTGCAGCATGGGGCAGACCTTGACGAACATCATCGTGAACGGAATGAAAGGCCCCACGATTGGTATACCACTTTGAGCAAGGCGAAAAACAGCATGACTCTTTGCCTTGCTGAGTCATCACGAAAAGGTCGCCCATGCAAGACGCGCCGACCAGCCACGATGTCCCTGAAGCACCGCGTGGAGGTGCAAGGCACGACGCCAAGGACATGCGGGGTTAAGCCCATACGCTTCCGGAATGCCTCGGGCCGATACTTGAGGAGAAGAAAAGGAGGGGAAAAGGAGGAGGCGTAGGAGGAAGAAGTGGAAGAGGGAGGCAGGAGGAGGAGGTCAAGGGAGGAGGTGAAGGGAGGAGGTGAAGGGAGGAGGTGAAGGGCGGTGAGGGAAAAGGATGGGGAATCAATGAATGATGATCCCATGGGTTCCGATCTAGATCCCTTCGAAACTAGAAGATGCACTGCGGGAAGGGGGAGAGGGAGGAGGAGGAGGAGGAGGAGGAGGAGGAAGAGGAGGAGGAGGAGGAGGAGGACGAGGAGGAGGAGGAGGAGGAGGAGGAGGAGGGATGAGGAGTGCGGGAGGAGAAGTCGGAGGAGGAGGTGGGGCAGAGAACTGAACACCCAGGATGCGTCGGTGATGCTGCAAGGCGCCCTTCCCTCCGAGGAGCCCTTGTCACAGTCCCCGCGAGAGTGCCGCCAACGCTCCGTGAGGACGTGCGCGCACCCCCCAGTAGTGACGAGCACCCAGTGCGCCGGCCACGCAGGCGAGACCCATTCTTTGTGGAGGCCCTATGTCTCGAGGAGCAAGAAGTCGGGTGCTGCTAGAAGTGCCCCTGGCCCAAGGTGTCCCCAGGATCTCTAGGGAGGCCCCCACGGCCTCCAGAGCACCCCTCACCAGGCCCAGAAGGCCCCAGGGGCTCCAAAATCAAGGGAAAAGCTGGGGGCGACTTGGGCCAGGGACACCTTTAGCAGCCCCGAAAGAAGCGCAAATGCGCAGGGTCATTGAGTTCATGGAAATGTTCAGCGACAGCCTCGCCTGGGCACGGATCTGCCTCCATCCGTGCAAGGAAGAGTTGCACAGTGTGACATAACATGTGATGAAATCGCACGCGAGAGCCGAACCCTGAAAAGGAGCCACCATCAATCCGAGTATTTGCTGCGCAAGTTGGAATACTGGCCATCAACTTTCAGGAAGTCTCCAGCGAGAGCCGCATTTCAAAAACGTACACATTTCCATCCTTACATCTGCAGGAAACGTTTATGGCGAACATGCGCGGCGCTACAGCGAGAGCCAGACTTTGAAAACCACCAGTTCTACATCTTTGCACCTGTCGGGCCCTCAGAGGACGACTTCGCGCGGTGCTGCGGCGAGACCCGCTCACTGGAGGCACCCGGAGCCTCAGAAAAGGTAAGTAGATAAAGTCGACCATATCGCATCTTCGATCCTCAATCCATGAGGACGAGCAGCACGAACAGGAGGACGAGAAGGAGGAGGAGCACACAGGGATAGAAGAAGGAGGAGGGGACCAGAGTGAACCCAGACTGCACCAACGATGTCGCAATACACTCTCCTGTCTCAAATCCACCTCTTCATAAGTAGCTACAAGCAGTCCTTGTCACAGTGGGAAGCGCCTCTTGAAAGACGATCGCCCCCTGAGCTCGCCCTTTAGGCGAGGCCACTCTACTTCGTTATAAGTAGCGCGTGGAGGTATATTCATTTAGTTCGACCAAGTGTCTAGCGTCATCCCCGCTTTGACGAGGCACGGCCCTTGTCTGTGCAACTGTTGTGCAGACTTGGTTCCTGGTCGTGGAGGTTAGTTTTAAGCGAGACACTTGAATAGGAGTCGCCCTCCACCCGTGAGTCTAGCTCCCATGTTACAGAGCTAACGTCAGATTCGACAACGACCCGCCCTCTTTCGGCGTTGAGGACGACTGTGCGCGGCGCCCAGGCGACGGCAACATCTTGGAAACGACTCGCCCGCAAACGGCAAACTCGTTTCAAACAAATCAAGCCTCAAGACTACAAATCTCAGGAGGGGAAAAACATACACCGCCACAAGCAGTCGTCGATTCTCAAGAAAATATGGAAAGGTGTGGGAAGTGGGGGGGAGGAGAAGACCCCAGAAAGCATGGGAAAAGATGGGGAATCCTTTTACTTGTGTGTGTCTGCTGTTGTGTCTCGGGGCGCCTTCAACATCGCCAGGAGGGCTCCGTCGAAGCGCCCAGGACCCGCCCTGCCCGCACGGCTCTGGTGGACACCGGGTCGGGTCTGCGGCCGCCCCCGCGTGGCGCTGGGGGCGCCTGCCAAAGCGGAGCAGCAGCGCGGAGGGAGGGAGGGGGGCACGAGGAGCAGGATCCAGAGGAGGGCGGAAGGAGGCACGAGGGAGGGAGGGAGGGACGTGGAGGTGGAGGGAGGGACAACGAGGAGGGCGTGGAGGGAGGGAGGAGGCACGAGGAGCAGGATCCAGAGGAGGGCGGAAGGGAGGGGGGGATGGGAAGGGGAGAGGCAGCGAGAGGCAAGCCAGGCGCGCCCACACCACACCTGACATTCGATCCCCCCCTTCCCGTCGCTGCCCATTGCAGTGACGTTTCTCTCGCCGTGGACGCGTGGCATAGCCGACGTGGAACTCCATCACCCCAGCAAAGCTCCATAACAGCAGCGAAAGTGGCCTGTGGGACCTGTGGGGCAGGTGGGAACGGTGGGACTTGTGCGATATGTGGGAGCTGTGGGACCTGCGGAACCTGTGGGACTTCTGTGGCCTGTGGGACTGGGGGACCTCTGTGGCCTGTGGGGCCCGTGAGACCTGCGACGCCTGTGGGACCTGCGGGACCTGTAGGAACTGTGGGTCCTCCGTGACCTGCGAGGCCTGTGGGACTTTGGGACCGGCTGGACCCATGGGACCTGGGGGGCCTCCGTGGGACCTGTGAGAGTTGCGACACACGTGGGACGCGTGGGACCTGCGGGACCTGTCGGACTCCGTAGGACCTGTGGGACCTGCGAAGCCTGCGGCATCTGTCGGACCTGCGAGACCTGTGGAACTTGTCAGGCCTGGGCCCCCCTCGAGGCCCAAGCGCACCAGCGTTTTCTGAGCCGCGCCCCGCCGTGGCGAGGAGGGGGCCTACGAAGATCGAAGGAGCGGCCTGATCGAAGGAGCCCAGAGCAGTCCATAATTGTGTCTACATATACATCTATACATACACATATATATATATATATGTAACATATACACATATACACATGTATACATATATATATATATATATATACAAACATGCCTACATGTTGATAGATAGATCGATTGAACAATCATCGTGTCTGTGGGACCTGCGGGGCGACCTGCGGCACTTGTGGGTTATGTGAGACCTGTGGGGCCCGCCAGAGCTGCTTGACCCGTGGGACCTGCGAGGCCTGTGGGATCCAGAAAAGGGGCCCACGCTAGGGCGATACAATCGGGGCGCTGAAGAAGGAACCCTTTTCGCTGGGGAGGGGCTCGGTGTTCCTTGATTGTTCCAAAGTTTGCCTCGGGTTTTCCTGAGGTTTTCCATGGGAAGTCGAGGTTGAACTTATGGGAAGAAGGGGCCTCGTTCCTTATCCAGGGTTCCTTAGGTCAACGCCTCGACTGTAGCGCCATTTTGAGCGACGGGAGCACAGCGCCGATCCGAAAAGAAAGGCCCACGCTGAAGCGGGAGCACCGTTCTGGAAAACCGAATGCGTTCGGAGCATAAGAGCAACAAGACCAGAGCTAGTGTTACAAGCCTGCGTGTGACAAAAGCTACGCAGAGGGGGCGGGAGGGGAGAGAGGAGAGTAGTGCCCATGCTGAATCATTGTTAAGGGGCTGAAGATGAAGCAGGTCAGCAAGAGAAAGGGAGGAAGAGGGAGCAGAGATGAGAGAGGTGGAGGGGGGGAGGAAGAGTGAGCAGGGCAAAACAGGAATCGACCTCTAAACCGTGTTTCTCATTTTCGTGGTGGTTGCGTTGTCCATCGTTTTGTCTTCAATTCGCTTTTGCTGCAAAACACAATCGAAACGAATACAGGGGTAGAGGAGTGAGGAGGGGGAAGGGGAGGGATCAGAGGAAGAAGAGAGAGAGAGAGGGAGCAGGGCGTAGGCAGGAGGGGGGATGGTAGGAAGCAGGGGACTCCTGCTGCTCTCGATGGCAGGGAGCAGGGAACTCCCCCTGCTCCCGTTGAGCCGGCATGCGGACGCTTCCGACTTGGCCTCATTCCAGCAGGGGGCGCGAATCCCAGGAAGGGTACGGAAGCGACCC